TTTTTTCCTTTTTTTTTTTTTGCCAGTCCTGGGACTTGAACTCAGGACCTGGGGTGCTGTCCTTGAGCTCCTTTTGCTCAAGGTTAGTACTCTACCACTCTGAGCCACAACACCACTTTTGATTTTCTGGTGGTTAATTGAAAATACGAATCTCATAGACTCTCGGGCTCTGGCTGCCTTTGAACCACAACTCTCAGATCCCAGCTTCCTGAGTAGCTGGGATTACAGGCTTGAGTCTGTATTTTCTTTATTCATTTTATTGCTCAGTTGTTGTGAACAGTGTTGCAATAAGCATGAGTGTGCAGGTATCTCTGGGTATACTTTTGATCCATGTGGTGTTATGGCAGGATCACAAGGTGGTTCTTTTGAGAGGATTCTCCATACTTACTTCCATACTGGCCACACTATATTAACATTCTCACCAAGAGTGTATGAAGTTCCTGACTTGTCCCTTGTCTTCCTCTCCCTTTTCCCCTCCCTTCCCTCTCTCTGTGCTGGTGCTGGGACTTGAACTCAGGGCCTAGGCACTGCCCCAGAGCACTTTGCTCAAGGTTAGCACTCTAGCCTAAGCTCCACTTCTGACTTTTTTTTTTGGTGGATAATTGGAGATAAGTCTCACGGAGTTTCCTGCCTGAACTGGATTCAAACCACGATCTTCATATCTCAGCCTCTTGAGATCTTGCATTACAGGCTTAATACTAGTTCATCTTTGACGATGCTCCTCTGAGAGATAAGGAAACCCTTAAAAAAATAGTCACACTTTTCTAGAAGTCCATCCCCCACCCCCTAGAGAAACAGCCATGAACTGTTCTTTTAGATGTTCATTCACCCCTGTCGAAGCTGCCAGAAAAGAAATCAATTCAATTTGGGATGAAGCTGTGCTTCTCCATCTGCTAGCTTGGGCTACGATGCTGCTAGGTGGGTCCTGCAGCCGGCTGACCTTTCCCCAGGCTGCTCAGAGGAGATGAGCTCTTGCAGCTTGCTGAGGCTTGATCCCTTTGGAAACCTCTCCCATCCTTTCTCCTGGGGGAACTACGGAAAAATCAGTCTTTATATCTGATTTCTGCGGGAGGCTCCCCCCACCTCCCCCGCTCCCCGCCCTTCCTCGCCCTCCCAGCTCCCCAGTTCAGGGCGGGCTCCCCAGCCCTGGCCAGCCCGCCTGCGCACCGCGAAGCTGAGATTGGGGGCGGAGGCGCCGCCCATCTCCAGCTCCTGCTCGCTCCTCCCCGCCCTCCTCCCCGCCCCCAGCCCTCTCCGGCCCGAGCGTGCAGGCTCCGCACTGCAGATGCCCGCCCGCCTCGCTGCGCCTGGCGGCTCCCCAGGCGCCTGGCAGGTCCCCGGACCCTCGAGCGCCCCTCGCACTCACACGGCGCTAGTGGGACCCTCACCTTCTGGGACCTAGCGATCCCAGTCTGCAAAGCCACACCGAGGCGGACGGGGCCCGGCGCCCGAGGAGCCCGGGTGCTGTCGGATGAGGCAGGACAAACTGACCGGCTCGTTGAGGCGCGGGGGAAGATGCCTGAAACGCCAGGGCGGCGGCGGCGGCGGTGGTGGTGGCGGCGGCGTGGGCACCATCCTGAGCAATGTGCTCAAGAAACGGAGCTGCATTTCCCGCACCGCGCCCCGGCTGCTGTGCACCCTGGAGCCGGGTGAGCGGCGCGCCGCGGGGCGCGGGGAGCCAGGGCCGCTGAGCTCCCGCCTGGGCGCCCCAAGGTCCCTGCACCACCGCGCTCTGCGTGCCCGCGGGCCTGGGTCGGCGTGGGAGGGCAACGCGCAGATCCGGGCCTGGGGCTGTGTGGGTGGGGTGGGGGGGGGCGCAGCGGCCTCCGGTGGAGCCCGCCACCGCCCAGCCTGGGGTGCGTGGTGGGGAAGTGCGGGCGGCCGCCTGCGCTACTACCCCAAGCCGCGTCACCTATTCTACCCCGGGCTCCTAAGGAAGCCAGAGCTTGAAAGAGGTGTGCGGATGGGTGAAAGGCAGAGGACTGAACCCGAATGGGGCGGGAGGTGAGGGTGGGGGGTGGGAAGGAAGCGTCTGGGGTGGACAGATTGAGTCCCTGTGGTTTGAATGCCCGGCCCAGCTGTCCGGGAACCTCTAATTTGTGGATGGGGTTGGGGACCAGGGGCACGATCCTGTCCATAGTAAATCCCAGAGCACTCCTGGTTGTGCTGTACAATAGGCCCTTCCTGCCATCGCGCCGGTGTTGTTTACACATCCCAGCTTCTCCCGACTGGGAAACTCTGGCGAGGGGCTGGGGGTGGGGCGCCTGGGCGCAGGGATTTCTGGCCAGGGATGGGCGCAGTGGGAGCCGGCACTGTTCGCGCGGGAGCTGGGCTTTTTCCCCAGAGTGGCCCCAGCTGGGCTCCCAGGCGGTGGGTCGTCTCCACTCCCGGCCCTCCAGCGCCTTTGGGGACCTGCTGTCACCCAGCTCTGGGAGACTGCCCGGGCACGGGGTTCCCAAGGGGTGGAATGTATCGCTGCCTTCCCCCAACCTCGTGGTTTCTTTGTTTTTCTCCCCATGGAAGTGTCTGGTTGCAGAGATTGTAGTATTATTCACCGTCGTCTTTTACCTCCCCTCCCCTTTTCTTTTTAATTTGTTTCCCACGTTAAAAAGTGTTTTGTATTTCCGAATCCGGAACAGCTGTGATTATCAGATGAAACATAAACCTTCTCTCTTATTCAGTTGGAAGAAAAGGGGTGAAAATGACCGGATTGAAGTGTCTGTGTGCAGGCAGCCAATGATCCGGTTCCACCTTAAAACGTCTAATTCAGTTTTGATCCAGAGAAAATAGTTGTGGTTTTGGTTAACTGAACCCCAGCTGGGTTTCGGCAAGGGGTGACATTCGCCATGTGCTCCATAGAAGTCATGGGAGTTCATTTGATCAAACATACTGGGAACTCAGCGGTGGCAGGGACGCAGGGAAAAGTCAGAGCCAGACCAAATTTCCTGGTCTTTGTTGTAATAAAGCAAACGTCATGATTCTAAGCGAGTCCGTTCAGCACCCAGGGCTTGGACAGCACCCGCATAGCAAAATCATTCTCCAGGGCTGGAGGAAATCTTGGCGGCGGTTGTGTAACCACTGGGGCGAGACTTCCTTCAGATCGTGTCAACAGAGCTGAGAACCAGTGGGGGACTTAATATTCCTTGGGAGAAGAAAATCATCTTTCTAGACACAGTATGGTTTTAACCCCAAGGCTTCCAAAGTGAATATCAAGACATTGACTGCATGCCTGAGGTTCTCTACCCTAGCTTTAGAGATCTAGGACTGAATATGTTATCTACAGCACTCTTCAGGGCATTAAGAGGAGCATCTGCATACTGTCCTAGGCTTGGGCAAAGTTGACACATCTATTTTCCCTTTCTCTTCTCCCTCCCTCCCTCCTTCCCTCTTTTCTTATTTCTCCCTTCTTTACTCTTTTCCTCCCTTTCTCCCTCTTTCCCTTTTTCTTTCCCTCCTTCCACTCCCTCCCTTCCTCCTTTATCTCTCCTCATCCTCCCCCAATTTACTGCTATTATTGTTATTTTATGGGATTGTTCCTGTCTGTATGGTTCCCTAGGCAGGGAAGGTATAAAGAGGCTTCCAATATGCCTACCCTGAAATTAACATCTTAGAGGCAGCACTATCATTATTTGATTTTTTTGCAATTTGTAAAATTGAAGATTACTGATAATGTTTGATATTTACGGATCCTAGAACTTGTAAGTCATGTCATTTCAAAAAGCGACTTAAGTGTCATCTCATTGATTTTGAAATTATAGAAACAAAAAGAACATATAGGATTTCCAGATTTGATTATATTTGTATAGAATTGAAACAGGAGTAAGAATTTTTATGTATTTTCACCTCAAGAATAACACCTAATTCTAGTTTGGAATTCCGAGGAAAGGCCCAGAATAAGTACTAAACATAGAGTCTTTATAATAGTTTTCTCAAGTCTCGTCCATACACTTAAGGTTTGCGTTTAAGAAGTTTAAAGTGGTAGATTGCTCAGGACTGAGTTCAGTTCTATTTTAACTTGTAGTCTAGAATTTAATAGGCATACTTGTAAAAAAAATGCACATTTTTAAAAATCTTTAATGAATAAGTCTATCAAGACAGAATTTAAAATAAAGACTCACACACTGTCTAATTTTTCAGTGCTAAGGCTCTAACCTAGGTCTTGTGCATACCAGGCATCTACCCCTGTGTTAGAGCCACTGCACCATAATATTTTGTGTTTCTTGTTTTTGCTTTTTCCTGGTCCTGGGGCTTGAAATCTGGGCCTGGGCTCTGTCCCTGAACCTTTTTTGCTCAAGGCTAAATAAAGCTCTATCGCATGAGTCACACTGCCACTTCCAGTTTTCTGAGTGGTTTATTGGAGATAAGAGGCTCACCGACTTTCCTGCCTGGGCTGGCTTTGAACCTCAATCTTCAGAGCTCAGCCTCCTGAATAGTTAGGATTACAGGCATGAGCCACTGGCACCCAGCATATTTTGTGGGTTTTTTTTGACAGATATGCAACTGAAGTTTACTTAATAGTCTAAGTCTAGTGCAACTGTCCTAGAAAAAACAATTTTTAGAGATTCCTTTTCCTATATTTTATAAATATTAATTATTCATGTGAGGAGACTTGAAGTTAATCATCACAGCAGTCCTTTGAGATAGCTATTGTTATACTTATTGACAAGGGAATTGAGGCTGAGGTGGTTCGCTTGAACCTTAGAACCCAAGCAAGAAGGGAGGTCTGTGTACTTTCCAGCCTGAGATGTACTAGCATCTCTTGAGTCTGTTTTTGTGTTACTCTAGGCAGCAGTGAAAACCACTCTTCTATGTGATAAGCTCAATTCTATTTAATAGGAAAGTTTCTCATTTTACTAATTGATATATTTTTATATAATAAGGTGAACAAAATTTAGTGCAAAATATATGACAACTCAGTAGAACCAAATTTTGTTTTTATTTTTGATATGATTCATTATAATTTCTAGAAATAACAGTTGTTTTATGTATTTTTCTTTTAGGAGTTGATACAAAATTGAAGTTCACACTTGAGCCATCCTTAGGTCAAAATGGATTTCAGCAGGTAACTACTTTTGACTTTGAATATACCCTTGTTTTACAATACCAACGCTGACCTACAATCTCAAAGTGAGAATATTAGCATATACTTTGATATGCATAAAATGTCAGAATCTGTTGGGTGCAGGTGGCTCATGCCTGTAATCCTAGCCACTAAGGAGGCTGAGATCTGAGGATCATGGTTCAAAGCCAGCCCGGCAGGAAAGCCTGTGAGACTCTTATCTCCAATAAACCACCAGAAAACTGGAAGTGGTGCTGTGACTCAAGTGGTAGAGCACTAGCCTTGAGCTGAATTGCTGAGGGACAGCACCCAAGCCCTACAACCAACAAAACAAAACAAAAAGATATCAGAATTTTTGTTTTTTGGTTTCAGGTAAATAACTTTTGAAGTTACAAGTCAAGCTGGGTTTATACTTGCAATAAAATTATTTTTACTTTTTTTTTTTTTTTTGGTCTGTCACTTAGGTTTGAACTTAGGGCCTGAGTGCTGTCCCTGAGCTTTTTCCTTTGAAGGCTACTGCTCTACCATTTTGAGCCATAGCACCACTTCCACTTTTCTGATGGTTAATTAGAGATAAGAGTCTCTCAGACTTTCTTGCCCAGGCTGGCTTTAAACCTTGATCCTTAGATCTCAGCCTCCTGAGTAGCTATAATTACAGGTGTGAGCCACCAGTCCCCAGCTTTTTACTCTTTATGAATAATATCAGTGTGAAAAAAATTATCAAGAACCTGAATAGCTTCATGATAGCCCATGTTTTGGTTCTTGAACCAGAGTCACTCAACATTGGGTATCAGGTGACAGATGTTTGTAGGGCCCTCTCTAAGAAGGGGCAGTCAGAGCTCCCAGACCAATAACTTCTGTTGAACACAGCTTTGTTTAGTCATCCCAGTTTGTTTGTTTGTTTTTCTCATGCTCCACAGATGTCAGGCTGAAGAAAAAGGTTGAAAAGTGTTCACCCAGGTCAATATTATTACTCCCCTGGTATTTCTTCTTTGTTCCTAGTGGTATGATGCTCTCAAGGCAGTTGCCAGACTATCAACAGGGATACCAAAGGAATGGAGGCGGAAGGTAAGGTGGGTTCATGGGGCTACAACACAGAACGATCACCACTGTCCTTTAAGCAATCTGCAGTGATAAAAATTGTATTGTTGATTGGTAATTTGATACTCATCTCTTCATTATTCTTGCATGCAGTCAGTACTGGCCAGGTACTGGTCTAAGCACGAGGAATGCAGCAGAGGTAACAACAGACACAAGATTTTGTCCTCATGAAGCTTACAATAAATAAAATGTGTAAAATATGTCAGATGATAATTAGTGCCATCTATAAAAAATAAAGCAGAGAAGGAAATAAAGAGAGTGTGAAGAAATGAGGTAGTAAGTTTTTGTTGTTATTATTAAGTAGTTGTACAAGGGGTTGTAAATCAGATTATAGGTACAATGCTTCTTTATATGTCTTTTTTTTTTTTCTCCACGGCTGAGAACCGAACCCAGGGCCTTGCGTGCGCCAGGCGGGCGCCCTTCCGCTGGGCTAAACCCCCAGCCCTGGTACAGTGTTTCTTGACAATGTCACTCCTTCCTTCATTCTCTCCAATTTCCTCCTTCCATCCCTACCCACAAGTTACATTGTTTACTTTTTACATAGTGTATATGGGGTACAATGACTTCGTTTGCTCACCTTCCTTCCTCCATTCCTGTGCTCCCTCCATGCACCCCCCCTCCCCGCAAAAGCCAAAACATGTTTCAATTTCCTGGTATTTGTTTTGATAAACAGCACTTTAGCTGTACAGAGGAGTTGTGCCTTTGGACACCTCCCCTAAGTATACCCTCCTTTAGTAATTTTGTTTGTGTGTAAATGCATGGGGCCCTGTATATGTTATCATACCTAGGTGTATTTTACATCTAGCTTCAATATATGAGAGAAAAAATGTGACATTTGTCTCTTTGAACCTGACATATTTCATTTGATATAATTGTTAAATATAATTTGTTAACATAATTTGTTCTAGGTTCATCCATTTCCTTGCAAATGACATGTTATTCTTTCTAATGGATGAGTAAAATTCTATTGTGTATAGGTACCACATTTTCTTGATTGTTGTAGGGTATCTGGGTTGTTGCATAACTTGGCTATTGTGAATAGTGCAGCAATGAACATGGATGTGTAAGTGTCTTTACTGAATGAATACTGACTTTGGAGTGCTCTTGATAGATGTCCAAGTGTGGGGGGGCTGGATCATAGAGTACTTCTATGTTTAGTTTTTTGAGGATTCTCCAAATTGCCTTCTAGAATAGATGTGCTAGTTTACATTCCCAACAACAGTGTAATAGGGTTTCTTTTCTCCTTCCCTACTAGCATTTGTTATTGTTTGAATTCTTGATGCTGGCCAGCTTTACTGGGCTGAGATAGCATCTCAATGTTGTTTTGATTTGCATTTCTTTTATGGCCAAGGATGTTGAGCATTTCCTCATATATTTATTGGCAATTCTTACATCTTATTTTTTGGTCATTATCATGGTCTATAATGTTTGTGAATTCTATGAGCTTTGACAATACAACTATTTCTTCCACACTGGGTGATACTTACATCTTCTTCTTTTTTTTTGGGTCTGGTTGTGGGGCCTGAACTCTGGGCCTGGGCGCTGTCCCTCAGCTCTTCAGCTCAAGGCTAGCGCTCTACCACTTGAGCCACAGCGCCACTTCTGGCTTTTTTCTTTTTTGCTTATGTGGTGCTGAGGAATTGAACCCAGGGCCTCATGCATGCAAGGCAAGCGCTCTACCACTGACCCACCTTCCCAGCCCCTTACAACTTCTTTTGAGAAGTAAGAGGTTTAAATAAAATGTAACAATTAAGGAGGACTCCAAAGCCAAGTATAAAAGGCAGGCTTGGTGGGACACACCAGGCAAATTGACTTGCCAAAGCTAATTCACCTGGGTGTATTAGGTGGTTCAGGAATGTTCAAACAAAAGAAGAGGCTAGAGGGACTAGAACAGAGGGCAAAGAGAAAGCAATGGGAGATTAGGTCATGAAGGTCCTTCTTGGCTGTAAGAGTACTAGCGCTTTTTGCTCAGTGTGAGATGGGAAGCATAGGGAGGTTTTGAGAATGAGAGTGGCTTGCTGTTCTAGCTACTGCTTAAGAATATTAGATGCAAGGACAGAAGAAAGGAAACAGTAAGAGACTTAATTGAATCAAGAGACTGGTCAGGGTTTTGGTAATGGAGATAGAGAGAAGGGTCACAGTCTAGGTACATTGTAAAAGCTGAGCTTGACATGAATTCCCAATGAATATAGATATAAGAGGATCCTGTAAGAGTATGAGTGACTAGAAAGGTAGAATTACTGTTGACATAGAAGAGGGAGCAGGTGTATCTATAGTGTATCTATAGTGGTACGGTGTAACCCCTGCTTTCACTGTATTTGATGTTGGTCTAATTTGTGGAGGGGAAGGGCAAAAACAAATTGTTTAAATAGGGATACAGGTGGACCCATTGCGACAATGAGATGTACAAATCGTTATGTGGAAAAACGATCTTTACAACTTTGGCGGGGGTAAGGGGTGGGGGGGGGTGGGGGGGAGGAGGGGAGATGGGAAGGGATGGGAAGGGGAAACAAAGGAGGAGGCAACAATGCTTGGTAAGAAATGTACTCATTGTCTTGCCCATGTAATTGTAACCCCTCTGTACGGTATTTTCACAATAAAAAAATAATTGGGGTGTATTGGGCATTTGGACATAAAATTTTAGTGCTTAGGAGTCTGATTGGAAATATTGATCAGTTCTTTTCCTTGTACAATCATGTTCAAATTGAAATGCCCTCTTAGGATATACATTTATAAGTGTAGCCTTAATACTCCTAGAATTGGAACATTGAGGGTTTCTCAAAATAAATATTAAAATAGCATTATGAAATACATTTTTTAGAAACAGATTTTTTTTTTCCTTGGGGTAAAATAAAGGAGTAAAAATATCCAGTGACTCTTTTAAAAAAAGATGGGAGCCCATCTGTTAGATTTGTGTATGTGGGAAGGGATTATTTAAAGACAGAGAGATACATGATGAAAAAAATACCCATTCACCATGAATGACCATGTGGCTCTCCCGTCAGTGCAGAGAAGAATTTAGGGCCAAGGAAAACAAGTGTATAGGACTATATGGACTGCTGAACTAAAACAAAATTTGAATTAAACAATTGGTTTGTTTTCTGAACAGAACCTTCAATGCTTGGATTGTTACTTGGCACCTAGTAGGACCTCAGCAAATGTTTATTGGATGAATAAGTGAAAAGCTGTAATGAGTGTAGTTTAGTACAGCAAAATTTCATTGTGGGTAGTTCCTAGACATAAGCAATGTCTAGGAACAGTTCCTATTCTCTTGCTGGATACAAGAACTCTGAAATGAATTATTCTACTTTTCTAATCTTGTTATAAAATTTTAGGTTTGGTTGACTTTGGCAGATCATTACTTGCACAGTATTGCCATTGACTGGGACAAAACTATGCGTTTCACTTTCAATGAAAGGAGTAATCCTGATGATGATTCCATGGGAATTCAGATAGTCAAGGTAATGCTCTGAAACCTGGCCTGTTATTCTAATGTTGGAAAATGACTGAGCCAAATGTTTCCTAGATAGAGAAGACCAAATGATTTCTTCCTTACTATATTCTGCATGCCTGTATTTTCTGCCTTCTCATTTCATTAATTAACAGACTATATCTGTCTCCATAAATTTAAATGTCAGTAAAAAGCAAATGTTTGTAAATAAGCACCTTTTCAGATTCAATGTATCTTCCTCATATGATAGGAGACTTGAGTTTTCTCTTTAATATGGGTCAGTGTTCTAACTTGAATCTTACATAAAAGTCACTGATTGAAAGATGTGAAATTAAGTATATTTCATACTAGAATCATTTGGCTTATAGCAGAGTCTTTTAATTGATAGAGATAGCTGGTAGACTGATGCATCTATGTTAGACCAGATGGCTATAGTTCAAGCCAGCTGTGGAAGCAGCTGTGGTTTGCATACATGAATTATTCCAGTTGACTGGAGCCTGGTGCTAAAAGCCAAAGATGCTGATTCCATTTGATACCAAAATAATCTTCTTATATAAGCTCTGGCACGTGGGTTTTGATTTCATATGAGTGCCTTACAGTGCTAATCTGGGATTAAAGGAAAGTTGTTTCATCTAAATTTTATTTGGCTTCACAAGGTGGCTGGTGTTTTACATAGTTGAATATACTTTTTTTTTGTTTCTAAGGAGGAGGTACTAACTAAAATGAGCTGTAGTCTGATCTAACTTAGTCTCTTTCAGACAACAGCTACAAAATTCCACTTTACATACCCCAAACCTGTGCATTATTCACATTTCAAGTGTTTATTTGTAATTTCAGAATAGGCTCCACAGAGACAAGTATTTCATATTTGAAATATTTTCCTATGTTTAACTTGTGAATGAAGACAATGGTCAACAACAACGATGTTATTATGAGGATCTTTTACTTTCTCAGTGAAGTAAATGCTATGTTGAAATGTTGGAGAAATGACTTTAGTTCCTGAAAACCAATTTGGTGATTACCGCTTGCTAATTAAGATACAGATATTGGCCTTATTACATATTACAGCACTGGGCTGGGAAGGTGGCTCAGTGGCAGAGTGCTTGCCTTGCATGCCTGAGGCCCTGGGTTTGATTCCTCAGCACCACATAAGCAAAAAGAAAAAAGCCAGAAGTGGTGCTGTGGCTCAAGTGGTAGAGCTCTAGCCTTGAGCTGAAGAGCTGAGGGACAGCGCCCAGGCCCAGAGTTCATGCCCCAGGACCAGACCCCCCCCCAAAAAAATACATATTACAGCACAACAAATGTTTCTGTCCTTCTTATACAAATTAATAAAGCAGTTTCGATAGAATGATTTTTCTCTTCATAATACAGATTGTAATTTTCTTTTATTCTTTCCTCTTCCTCCTTTCTTCTTCTTGTTCTTCCTTCTTCCTTCTTTTTTCTTTTTCTTTCCTCCCCCTCGTCCTCCTCCCCTTCCCCTCCCCTCCTCGTCCCCCTCCCCTCCCCCTCCCCTCCCCCTCCTCCCCCCCCCTCCTCCTCCCCCTCCTCCTCCTCCTCCTCCTCCTCCTCCTCCTCCTCCTCCTTCCCCTTCTTTCTCCTCCCGGTACTGGGGTTTGAACTCAGGACATGGCACTCCTGTTTGGCTATTTCTCCTCAAGTCTAGTGTTCTACCAATTAAACTCTGCTTCTGGGTTTTTGCTGGTTAACTGGGGAAAATAATTTCTCAGATTTGTCTGCCCAAACTTACTTCAAACCTTGATCCTCAGATCTCAGGATCCTGAATAGTTAGGTTTACAAGTGTGAGATACCAGTGCCCAGCAGATTGTATTTTTTGGTATTTTGGTTTTATGTAACATTAGAATTTTGACAGCTAAATAGTATACCACGTTTTTGTTTTTGTTTTTACAAAGGAATAACATTAGCAACTATTGTACATGTATTGGAATGATCTGTTTTTTATAGATAACAGATACACATTTTAAAAAGTGTTAATTTTTTATAAGCCTATAAATATAATTTTTGTTGAGCTACTTTTTGTGTTAATTTTGGAAACTAAGAAAATTTGCCTGACTGAATTCCGCAAATTTCTCTTAGCCTAGTGGAAAAACACCAGGAAAAGGAAAATTGAAATGATGTTTTGCCTGATATAAGTTGCATATATGTTTTAAAAAACTAAAATCCATATTGATAATTGATCATTTGATTCTGCCTAATGAGATGCAGAATAAAGACTTTAATTTGAAGGGCATATTAGGAGGGTTTGTGTGTGTGTGTATGCATGTGGGTGCTGGTACTGGGGCTTGAACTCACAGCCTCACATTCTTGCTATGCTTTTTCACTCAAGACTGGTGCTCTACCACTTGAGCCACACCTCCACTTTCAGCTTCTTGCTAGTTAAGTGGAGATAAGAGTATACTAGGTTTGCTGGCTTCAAACTTTGAACCTTAGATTTGAGCCTCTTGAGCAAGTAGGGATATAGGTATGAAGCACTAGCAACAGGATAGGAGTTATTTTTAAAAAATATTTCTTCCCTTCCATTTTAGGATCTCCACCGTACGGGCTGTAGCTCCTACTGTGGCCAAGAGGCTGAGCAAGACAGAGTGGTTTTGAAGCGGGTGCTGCTGGCCTATGCCCGATGGAACAAGAATGTTGGGTACTGTCAAGGCTTCAACATCCTGGCTGCACTCATTTTGGAAGTGATGGAAGGCAATGAAGGAGATGCATTGAAAGTGAGTGTTAGGCTCTGATGAAGAAAATTGGAATTCTTTTAGAGTGAAAACCTGGAAGTATAATTTTCTACTCTGATGCCTCTGCTCATTCCAATAACTTTATAATAAACGTATGATAGCAATTGTATAATTTTCCATCCTTTGTAATTATCTATGATAGCATTGTCCCCCGATTGAAGCCAGGTCAAGTGACAGATGTGTGTAGCTGCCACTTGTGAAGGAAATGAGTATTTTTGGTCTTAAGTAGGACCATCATGCCTTAAGTAAGCCATCCTATTTTTTATTGTTGTTGGTTGTGGGGCCTGAACTCTGGGCGGTACTGTCCCTCAGCTCTTCAGCTCAAGGCTAGCACTCTACTACTTGAGCCACAGCGCCACTTCCAGCTTTTTCTTTTTGCTTATGTGGTGCTGAGGAATTGAACCCAGGGCCTCATGCATACAAGGCAAGCACTCTACCACTGAACCATCTTCCCAGCCCCAGGCATCATATATATATTTTTTTGCATCATATTTTTTTAAGCAAGTTAAATATTAATGTTTTGGAGTGTATTTTATTTTTATTGTGAAAATACCATACAGAGGGGTTACAATGACATGAGCAAGGTAATGAGTACATTTCTTATCAAGCATTTTTTGTGTGTAACAAATTAGCTGCTTAAAATAGCAAGCACGTATCACTTCATGGTTTCTTTGCATCAGAAATCTGGTCATGGTTAGCTAGTTAGAGGACACATAGTGTGGTGTTCATATTGTCTCATCTGAAGATGCAGTGGGTAGACCATTTGCCGAGTGTATTTGTGCAGTTGTTAACAAGATTTCAATTCCTCATAAACTGTTGAACTGAGAGGTCTCAGTTTCTTAATGTTGTTGGCTAGAAGCCTCTGTTAGTTCCTTGTCACATAAGTCCCTCCATCTCCCAGACTGGTGGGCTGGAATTTATCAGAATATGTTACAGAAGTTTTGGCCAGATATCGTTTTTCCATGTTCTAGTTGTTTCAAGTGGTCACGAGGGCCAACGCATACTCAAGGTAATGGGTTGGGGCTAACTGGGGCTCCTATTAGAAGCTGCCTGCCATTCCACTGCATTTAATTTTGATTGGCTGTCATATTGGGTTGCTTTCCTCTTTCATATTTGGGGCATGGTATGGAGGAGGTGGGCTGAAGGGGTCTAGGGAAGTGTTTGCATGGAGAAAAGTTACAGGAGTAAATTATATCATTATCCTTTAATCTTTGATGCCTATGATCCTTTTATTAGTTAAAAATAGTTCTGCAGCATTAACAATAGTAACTTATAAGTTTGAATGTGAGTCAGTGAGTTACCTGAAATACACTCTGTATGGAAAAAAAAGCCTTTCAGATGTGGAGGATGGCCACTGCCTTATTTGCTTAGGGCAGTGTAGGCTGCCAATTTATGTATGAACCTTTAAACTTTTGTTGATTGCAGTGCTTGTGATGTATGACATGGATGTTTCATCTTTGCATGCAAGACACACCCCCTTATACTCTAAGTGATATTCTCAGTCACTGATGTGGTATGGAAAAATAAATGTGTTTTCCATCTCGATTGAGATCTAATTAAAATCTAGCCTATCCTTTTTTTTTTCCATTTGTGTATTTAAAGAAACAATATTGAAGCCACCTGTTCATCGAATAGGTAGGGGCCAGGGATAGGTGAAGAAGATAGTGAAAAATCAAACACATAACTTTAAGGCATTTTAAATTAAAAAGGCATTTTGTCTACTCAGTCAATCGATTTTACTCGGGATTTAAAAAAAAATGTAATGTGTATGATTCAAATGAGCAGTGTTCCATTGAACAGTTGGAATAGAAGATTCAGGTTAGAGGGTGGGATGGAGGAGTTTAGGGAAATAAACTTTGAACTCTTGAAAAGGCTCATGGTTGAGAATTTGAACTCTCTCATGAAAGGTTGGGTTGGATGGAGTTGAAAAGTGGAGTCTTTGTATTTCTGCCCCCAAGTAAATGAAGGACATGCTATACATTTCCATCCCTTAGGAGCAGATAGGTCTTCTTGTTAGATGTTTAACATACAGAAGAGTACTGGGGTCCTGAAGAAAGCTTTCTGGTGCCAAAGAAATTATAGGATGTCTGTGTTTTCTTCATAGCCATTTTGGTCTCTGCAAGTTGAAATTACAAAGGAAATATATAGAAATGAAGGAAACATTTTTCCTGCCTTTTTTTTTTTTTTTAATTTCCTTTCCAAAACTGAGGACTGAACTTAGGACCTTGTGCTTGCCAGGCAAGTGCCATTTTACTGAGCTAAATCTCCAGCCCCGCTTCTTGCTTTTAAGTAGCAGTGTTGTTGGTTTATTTTTTCCTGAGTAACTATTTTTTGGGGGGGAGGGAGGGTTATGGGGCTTGAACTCTAGGCCTGGGCGCTCTGCCCAGCTCTTCAGCTCAAGGTTAGCACTCTACCACTTGAGCCATAGCACCACTTCCAGCTTTTTTCTTTTTGCTTATGTGGTGCTAAGGAATCAAACCCAGGGCCTCATGCATTCAAGGCAAGCACTCTACCATTGAGCCACCTTCCCAGCCCCTGAGTAACTATTTTGTTTGTATTTGTTAAAAGTTTGAAGCTCTCTTGCTACTTATCCATATTTATTATTCTATTTTAAGATATAAGCTTGGCTCCAGTGGCTGAGGGCCTGTAATCCTAGCTACTTAGGAGACTGGGATATGAGGATTGTGGTTTGAAGCTAGCCTGGACAGATAAACTTGAGGGAATCTTATCTCTGATTAATCAGCAAAAACTCCCAAAAGACAACAAACCAGATGTGGGGTTGTCCAGTCTTGAGCAAAAAAGCTAAGGGAGAGCTCAAAATCCTGAGTTCAAGCCCTAATGCCTACACCTACCACCACCACCACCACCACCACTGCGGCCCCCCCCCCCCCCCCCGCAAAGATATAGAATTTGGCCTTTGAAATTCAGTCATGGATATAAGTGAGCTTAATACGAGACTTGGAGATGATTTTAGTTGCTTTGTGTTTTTTTTATTTGTTTTGGGTCTATTTTAATAAAGGATAGGGCTGTATGTAGCTCAGTAGTAGGGTGCTGCTTGCCTACTTGTAGCCCTGGATTGGATCCCTAGCACCACACTACCAAAGGGAGGGAAAAAAGGAATATTTCTCTTAGTACTATATAATATATCCTTAGGTAAAAAGTGTAATAATTCACAGCTAGTTACCTTTAAATTTGCCTTTGTGACCCTATACTTTCATTTTTTCCCCCGGTGTGTGGAGTGTGGGTCCATACTGGGGCATGCTGCCCTGCTGGGAATCTGCTCTTTCCCCTGGGACCCTCTCTGTCCTGAGGACTGAGTGGACTCCTCCTGTTGCTGAGCTCCTGATTCCTAGGTGATGATGTGTTTACCTGGTAAATCCAGTCCTCAATAACAAGGCTGACTTGCTGGGCTTACTCATCTGTGCCAAAGGTCTTTAAGAGTCAGTTCTCACAAACCAAACTATAGAAATTATAAACCACAAATGAGAAAGTGGGATTGTGGAAGAGCTAGGAAGAATATATACATATATATGTATACAATTGTGCCAGTAACTGGGGCTTGAATTTAGGGCCAGGGCACTGTCCTTGATTTTTTTCTGCTCAAGGCTAGTTAGTGTTCATTACTTGAGCCATAGCTCTACTTCCTGCTTTTTGGTGGTGAATTGGAGAGAAGTCTCATGATTTGTCTGTACAGGCTGGCTTTAAACCATCATCTTCAGATCTTAGCCTCCTGAGTAGCTAGGATTATAGGTGTGAACTATCAGCACCTGGCTGATATATATATACACACACACATATATATACATATATTAAAATAGAGTTTTGTGGGATCCTGAGACAGAAAGCAAAACATACAACAAAGATTATCTAGCAACATGCAGCCTTGAAACTCTGATTTGCCAATACTCTGGTGTGTGAGCTCATCTTTTAGGGAGCAGGCACCCAGCATATAGGCAGGATTAAGGACCTACCAACAGAACTCATGTATATTTTGCTGAATCACTCTGATTTTTTTTTTTTTGGGTCCAGTCGTGGAGCCTGAACTCTGGGCCTGGGTGCTGTCCCTCAGCTCTTCAGCTCAAGGCTAGTGCTCTACCACTTGAGCCACAGCGCCACTTCCGGCTTTTTTCTCTTTGCTTATGTGGTGCTGAGGAATCGAACCCAGGGCCTCAGGCATGCAAGGCAAGCACTCTACCACTGAGCCACCTTCCCAGCCCTCTGATTTTTTTTTAAATTAACATTCTAGAAAGGTGGTAATACAAGTAGAGAAATCAGAATGAAATTGTAGTTCAAAGAACTTGTATGACAATATTGATCAAAGAAATGTAGATTGTAGAAGTTTTGTTTATTCAAATAAAGCCTGGCTGCATCTCTCCAGAAAGGAAAAAGGATAAAAAGCTAGCAGCAAATTGCTATAATAACCCAGGTTGATGGCTGCTGCTTTGTGGGAGTTTTATGGCAGGCTGGCTCCTGGATTTCATGTGCAGGTGGTAAAGCTGTGGATACCAGGAAGCAAGTACTGAAGCTCCTGAGATGTCTGTTGACGAAGCTCATACTTTCTCATTCCTCCTTGAGGCTGAGAGTTGTGTAATTGCAACTACATACAGGATGCGCTCAGGTCTGGCAGCCCTTTCTTCCCACAATCTCAGCTAACAGTAGACGTTGGGTCTGAGTGACTGAGATAATTATGCTGCCTGCTCCCACCACAGGGTGTTTGATTCTGACACATTGAAAGGATGGTTGGTGTACTAAGGCTAGCTGCTTTTATTGATTTGAATGTATTCTTTTAATTTAGGACCTGTTAGGATCTTGGTTGTTATGAAGCAATCTTGTTTTTTTTTTATTCTTTTATTTTTCTCCTACAGATTATGATTTACCTGATTGATAAGGTCCTTCCTGAAAGCTATTTTGTTAATAATCTCCGGGCATTGTCTGTGGATATGGCTGTCTTCAGGGACCTCTTGAAATTGAAACTCCCGGAATTATCTCAGCACCTGGATACTCTGCAGAGAACTGCAAACAAAGACAGTGCGGGTAGGGATGATTCATTGCCTCTGAAAATATTGGGCTTCTCTGAGTCTACTCTATAAATAAGCTTAAGCCTGGAATGGAAATACAGGTTGCCAGGTATTTTTGTTTTAAGAGTTTGGGGCAATAAAGCAGTTTAGAACCCAGAGAAGAGAAGCAAGATTAAAAACATATAGGGCTACTGTTGAACCTCTAACTGGCCCTGGGTAGAAAGTTGATTGAGAGCCTAAAACTACACCAGTACTATATCAACAACTAACAGGATATACTGAATTCTAGATGAAGATGGTGTACATATTTTACTATGGAGTCCAACTGCTCTTAGCTGGCACCAAATCTATAGGAGTTCTTTAAAACTAGGCTATAGTTATAATTTTGTACCAACTGGTTTTCCCAAATCCTTTGAGGTAATGGGAGGCAAGCTCTGAGAGTTTCTGCTATCTAGAGGGCATTGTCTGGCTTTTAGAAGTACTTGCATTTAATTACTCTAGTTAGACACAGTGCTTATATTTCTGTCCTGTTCTCTGGGCACCAGAAAGAGCAGTCAAAAGTTTGCTGTGTTTGCTGTACATGGGTGTCAGATTCTGTTGTCGACCATACACCTACAGTCTAGTCTGACCCACACATATTAAGTCTGGGGATGTAGAATTGGCAGTATAGCTCAGTGGTAGAGTGCTTGTAAGGCCCTGGATTCAATAACCAACATATATCCAAAGACCTCAAATAGACATTTTCCAAAGAAGGCATACAAATATATGACAACTCATACACAAAAAGATGCCCCACATTCCCAACCACCAAAGTAGCATATTAAGGGATTTTGGGAATCTAATCTTTGCATAGAATGCATAGGAAATTAAAAAATCATTATTATTAAGGAATGGTACAGAGGGGCTACCACTTTCTAAGTTAGGCAATGAATAAATGTCCTCTTTTGGACACGTCATCCCTTTCTTAACTCTCCCTCAGTTGCCCCTCTGATCACTGCCCACAAGTTACATAGTTCATTTTTCACATATTGTATACTGAGTGTCATGACTGTATTTATTCTGGAAATTTTAATGGTACCTAGGTATCTCATGTATTTTCTCCTAGGCCATTTAAATGATCTCATTGAACTTGGTGTGCAGTGTAAATGAATTTCTGTGAACTTCATAATGCTCCCAGATAGACAGTGTTCTTGCCTGTCCTGTAGACAGACAAGTTTTCCACCCGCTCCCCTTCACCCCCAGCCCTTTGCATTTGACTATAAGGAATAGCATGAAGCTCTAGTCTTTGAATAAGTATTTCTTTATAGATTAGGAAGGAGAAAACAAGGGCAAGAAAGTTCAGGATTCTTTTTGGTCACATTTAGACCATTGTTCATACTGACTTAACTGGAAGAGAGCGAGTCAATCTAACTATCTGTATTTTCATGTCTCATTAATAAACACACACTTATGTTAGCAATAGGAAGTGGGACTCTTTAAAGTGAATTCAGAAATTTCAGAATGGGCCTGTTCCTGAATCTTTCTTTAAAACTGCGTATAATGTAGAAATAGGCATATACTATATTATAAAATATTATTTTAATATCATATAACCGATATCTTACATATTATATGTTTATAAGTATATATAAAATATTTTAAAATTTAATGTCGCTTAATCTCCAACTATGTTGAGATTTTTTTTCCAGTTATGATCCCATTGTGATCTGAGAATTATGGATAGCATAGAAGTAAGTAATTTATAATTAGCCACTTTAGTCTTCATCAGCTACATTTGAGTAAAAACAGGTTCTGTAAGATTCCCCCTGTTTCTGGAAAGGAAAAATGGAGCAATGACCCAGGATGTAGAGATAGGAAGGAAGTCAGTCATGAGATATTAACATGTTCTGGCGGTTGGAAGAAGTTGGCCATCTTGTCAGTGATCAGCCCTGAAGGCCTTCCGTGTGTATGTGTTTTGTTTCAGGCGGATATGAGCCCCCTCTTACGAACGTCTTCACCATGCAGTGGTTTCTCACCCTCTTTGCCACGTGCCTCCCTAACCACACCGTTTTAAAGATCTGGGATTCAATCTTCTTTGAAGGTTCGGAAATCATCCTAAGGGTATCACTGGCTATATGGGCAAAATTGGCAGAGTAAGTGTTTTCCTTGCTGTTCTCTGGTGTTGGCATGAAGTGTTTTTTTTGTGCTTCAGGTGTTAAGAGTGAGGGAAAGAGAACGTTGTGAACTTTGTTGACATGCTTTAGCCTACTGAATCTCAACTGGCTCCTTTGATTACTCTGGGCTGGAGGAAATCTATTTTAGGGAAGTGTCAGGCTAGGCTACTTCATGTCTATGGATCTTCTTGTCAGAGGGAAGGGGGCACGTAGCTGGAGAAACTGGAAGGTTTAGAGAGGAGGAGATGGATGTGTCAGCTCATATCACAATTTGGATTATTTATAAAACATTCTGCCTTTCCAGGCTATGATAAAATGAAATGAAATTACTTGCACAGGAAACTCTAGCATGACTCTGTACTGTTCTGTCAATAGCAGAACACATGAAACTCCTTTCCTTTTCACCAAGAATGTCTTCTGTTGAGATCTAGTTCTGCCAAAACATGTTACCAAGTGGATTTGTACTTAACATTCCTTCTCATAGCAGGGCCAAGTACTGAAAAGGATAGGATATTTTCACTTATCTCTAACATATGGTGGTGACAACATTAACTTTGTACCTCTGGGTAATGGAAAAATTAGGAATGACTTAGGATAAAACTGTTAACAGTTAGGGAGACATTTTCTTGTTTTTATTTTGTTGTTGGGGTTTGTTTTGAATTTACTTACCTTTTTTCCAGTACTGATTTTTTTTTTATCTCACTGAGCCATGCTTCCAGCTCTTTTTAGCACTGGTTATTTTATTTATTTATTTATTTATTTAGTTAATTAGTTTTGGTCGGTTGTGGGGCTTGATCTCTGGGCCTGGGCGCTGTCCCTCAGCTCTTCAGCTCCAGTGCTTTAGCGCTTGAGCCGCAGTGCCACTTCGGGTTTTCTAATGGTTTATTGGAGACAGACAAGAGTCTCATGGACTTTCCTGCCTGGGCTGGCTTTGAACCTCATTCCTCAGAGCTCAGCCTCCTGAGTAGCTAGGATTACAGGCGTGTGTGAGCCACCTGTGCCTGGCAGCACTGGTTATTTTTGAAATAAGGTCTTGCTTTCTGCTCAGATATGAGTCTGAACCATGATTCACCTAGTTTATGCATCTCATTGTAGCTGTAAAGATGGGTGTAACCACCACACCCAGCTGCATCCAATTGGATAGGGTCTTTGGTCTTTTCTGCTGGGTTATCCTGGAACTAAGATTCTCCCAGTCTCAACCTCCTGTGAAGCTAGGATGATAGGCACGCACCATGTACTCCAACTATGGGTTTAGAAGAGGTCTCATAGACTTCTATCCTCAAACCAGAATCTTTCCATTCCTACCAAGCAGCTAAGGGTACAGGCAGGAGTCGCTAGGACTCAGATTTTTTAAAAGCCACTATTTATTGTTACCTTTTTTTTTTGAGTCAGGATCTTACTGTGTAGTTCAGGCTGGTCTGGAACACATCATCTTCCTATTTCTGCCTAAGTGATGGGTAAATGCTGCTTTAGTAAAACTATGAATCACTTGACTAAGTACCCATGAACAATATGTCAAAAATTAATAAACTAGGGCTGGGAAGGTGGCTCAGTGGTAGAGCGCTTGCCTTGCATGCCTGAGGCTCTGAGTTCGATTCCTCAGCACCACATAAGCAAAAAGAAAAAAGCCGGAAGTGGCACTGTGGCTCAAGAGGTACAGCGCTAGCCTTGAGCTAAAGAGCTGAGGGGCAGCACCCAGGCCCAGAGTTCAGGCCCCACGACCAGATCCCCCCCCAAAATTAATAAACTACTGGTGTGTTTTGTTTGAAAGTATTTTAACTACTCTTTTGTTGTTTCCTGGAAGACTTGTGGTATTTAAGTTTTATTTTTTCAAATAAACAGTCACTATCAGTTCAGGGATTAAAATATCAGTATTATGTGTAAATATTATGTGTAAATATCCTTTGCCTTTGCTTTATTGTACTTTGCTTTTTAGTTATATCCTTGCCTTTGTTTTGCTGTTTTTGTTATTGTTATTTTGTTTTGTTTTTAGTTACATCATTTGCCTTTGTTTTACTGTAGTTTGCTTTTTTGCTTCAGTATGAGATTTAATGTTATTTACTTAACTTTTCATTTTCTCCCAGTATCTATCTTTTCCTACAGTCATTTTCTAAATTACTCTGCACATTTTAGGCATTTTTGAGCCTTGATAGTTCCTGAGGTGCTATAGAGTGGTTACAGGGTAATTGGCTTATAGGGTTATAGTAGTAAAACCGTCTACTTTGTGATAGTCACCATTGCAGTGTGTGTGTATATGTGTATGTATGTTGTGTATATGTGTATGTGTGTGTATGAGTGTGTACGTGTATAAGTATGTACTGGGGCTTGAACTCAAGGTCTTGAGCTCTCACTAAGCTTTTTCTTTCAAGACTGGAGCTCAGCCGCTTGAGCCACTCTTCCACTTCCAGCTTTTTGTTGGTTAATTGGAGATAAGAGTCTCTTGAATTTGGATTTACCTGCCCAGGCTGGCTTTGAACTCTATTCTCAGATGGTAGTTTCCTAAGTAGCTAAGGTTACAGACTTGAGTCACCAGTGCCAAGCTTGTGTTAGTTGTTAATAAAGGGACAGGAAGAAAAAAAGGTAACCCTAGCTGGGCGCTGGTGGCTCACACCTATAATCCTAGCTACTCAGGAGGCTGAGATCTGAGGATCTCGGTTCAAAACCAGCCCGGGCAGGAAAGGCCGTGAGACTCTTATCTCCAATAAACCACTAGAAAACCGGAAGTGGCACTGTAGCTCAAGTGGTAGAGCGCTCGCCTTGAGCTGAAGAGCACAGGGACAGCGCCCAGGTCCAGAGTTCAAGCCCCACAACTGACCAAAAAAAAAGGCAATCCTGGTGTTCTTCCCATCAGCTCATTGTAGGATCAGAATCCTACAATGCTCCACTATTGACATTGTAGTAGCTGCAACGTAGAGCCGGCAACCAGTGATTACAATGCTAAGCACCATTCCACATTCTCTGCACATGTTGAATCATTTTGTTCTCTACCATCATGTGAGATATGCATAATTATCTTGATTTTACAGGTATCAGACCTGAGGCACAGAGTTCAGTTAATTGTCTCTCTTCACTGGGTTAGTGAGAGGGACTGACTTCAAACCCAAGTTTCTCTGGCTCTAGAATCTGTGCTTTTAATTAAGTAAATCTACTACTAATAAAGAGCTACTGTTACAAAATTCAAGGGATTCTGATATATTTGACTTACATATATCAGTCAGATATCTATGTATCTATCCCTATATATTGGCATCTGTTTACCTATCATCATATGTATTTAACATTCATATGTCACACACACACACACACACACACATATATATATATATACATGATACACAAAATATATTGGTCTGGTACAGTTTTAAGTGTTTCAGAGTTTTGCTCATTGTAATTGTACACTTTGTGAGCATGCAGCTATGAGATGCAAGGACAGGCAATCAACACCCATTCAGAGCTAACAGTGTTTTTGTGTTAGGCAGTCAGAGCACATTAGCTCATAACCCTGTGAAGTAGCAGTATTCCTTGCAGTCTGTTCAAGTGAGAAAGCTTCCTAAGCTAGTTAGGTTAATTAACTTGCTCACAGTCATGCAGCTAATGAATATGCCTGGATCTTTGTGATTCTGGATGACTCTTCTCCACAAACATTGCATCAGAAAACCCCTAAGTGGCATGTGGGTAACCTACAGCTTCTGTGTTCCTGAGGAACACCTGTGTCACTTGCTTCAGCAGCTTGGCATTTGTATGTAGTCTGTGAGTTGCAGGTCATCAGCACCTTCTCAGGCATCTCTTTACAAGTTCTTTGTCTTCTGGCCCACAATTACTGTCACTCTGTCATTACCTCATTCCTGGCCCCTTTTGGATAAACCTCCCTGGTCTCCTCTCCTGTACCCACATTTGCCATTCTGCCTACCAGCTGACCTTGCCAAGGGCACATCTGTTTCCTCATTCCCTATTAAAAGCCTAGCAGCTACTCCTGTCCTGAAGAGGCTCAGCTGGTCTGAGGCCTTTGCAATCTGTTGTTGGGATTTCTCCAGCCTTAGTTCTCACTGGCTCCCTCTGGTGTGCAATGATTCCTCTCATTTTGGTCTTGCAGTTAAGTCTGCTGTTTCCTGCATCAGGTCTGTAGGTCTGTGGAATACTCTCCCCTCCCCCACACCCTGGTAGCCTACAGATCCTTTCTTCAAAACTCATGAAGCATTTTAATTTTCTTCTTTGTGCCCTGGGATAAATGTAACCGCCTTTCATTTAAGTCCATCTGCTGAATTTTTGTAACAATACTTTAACACTTCACTTCATTAGTTTATTTAAATGATTGTGGCAATGGTATTTGAAGAGCATTGTGGACACTGAGGACACAAACACACACACTTTTAAAAACTACTTACTCGTTATTATACATATGATGAACAGAAGGATACTTTTTTATTGGTGCTGGCCCTGGGACTTGAAGTCAGGGCCTGGGCACTCTCCTTGAGCTTTTTTGCTCAAGGCTAGTACTCTACTACTTGCACAGCTCCATTTCTGGCTTTTTTGTTGGTTAATTGGAGATTAACCTGCACTGCCTGGGCTGGCTTTGAACCACATTGCTTGATTGCAGTCTCCTGAGTAGCTAGGATTATAGGCATGAGCTTTTTTTTTTTCCTGTGTGTATATATATATATATATATATATATATATATATATATATATAATATAATATATAACATACACACACTTTTTTTTTTCCAGTCCTGGGGCTTGAACTCAGGGCCTGGGCACTGTCCCTAAGCTGCTTTTGCTCAAGGCTAGCACTCTACCACTTGAGTCACAGTGCCACTTCTGGCTTTTTCAGTTTATGTGGTGCTGAGGAATTGAACCCAGGGCTTCATGCATGCTAGGCATGCACTCTACCACTAAGGCACATTCCCAGACCCCCTCCCCCACTTTTTGACGACTGAAAATAACCCATTGTTAGTGCATGTCAAGCACATGACTTGTTGCTGGGCCAACAGATTATCTGATTATACAAAACATTATACTAGATAAATCAGAAATATCTAGCACTCTTTGATTTGGACTATTCCTTTTGTTCCCCTTTTAAAAGGAAGATTAAATTCTACTCTATCTCCTAAGTTACTAGGTTACAGCATCTTCCCTGAACTCAGAAACTTCTGCCTGTGAAAACATCCTGTGGACTAATGAAATAAGCTGTTTAAAGTTTCCTAGTTTTGATCTTGCAACTCTATTTTGGTTTGATTTCAGTCTATTAATGATATCCCAGATGATTCCTTCCAGGGGGTAACTACTCTTCAGTACCCAATTTTATTTTTTTTTAAATTTAATTAATTAATTTATTTTTTGCCGGTTTTGGGGCTTGAACTCAAGGCCTAGGCCCTGTCCCAAATAGCAGGCTAGCGCTTTAGTGCTTGAGCCACAGTGCCTCTTCTGGATTTTTCTGAGTAGTTTATTGGAAATCAGCGTCTCATGGACTTTCCTTCCCCGGACTGGCTTCAAACCACATTTCTCAGATCTTAGCCTCCTAAATAACTAGGATTATAGGCGTGAGCCACAGGTACTTGGCTTCAGTATCCAAATTTGTAGTTCTAACTTGTTTTCTTTCTTTCTCCTTCCTTCCTTCGTTCCTTCCTTTGTTCCTTCCTTCCTTCCTTCCTTCCTTCCTTCCTTCTTTCCTTCTTTCCTTCCTCTTTCTCTTTCTCTTTTTTTTTTCTTGTATGCTGCTGTTGGTGCTTGAACTCAGGGCCTTGCATTCCTGCTTAGCTTTTTCGTACAGGCTAGTATTTTACCACTTGAGCCACACTTCCACTTCTGGCTTTTTGTTAGTTAATTGGATATGAGTCTCATAGTTTTGTCTGCCCAAACTGGTTTCAATCCTAGATCCTCAGATCTCAACCTCCTGAGAGAAGCCTGGCTTGTAGTTATGGTTTCTAATCAATGCTGGATTTGTTGACGGGTAGAAAGTTTCACGTGGCACAAATAAAGACACCACGGTGGGAGGAAGGCACATAGGGGAAATGAAATCCATTCTATCACAAGTACTTCAAAGTTAATTTGGCTTTTTTTTTCTTTTCTCTTTCTAAATTTTCTTTAAAAGACAGGCTGGTCTTAAGCTTCTAGACTGAAGTCATTGTCCTACTTCAGGAATGGATCTACCACTGTGGCCTGGTTGGCTTGATATTTTTTTTTTAATCTTTTCTCCACATGTAGCAGGCTGTGTCAGGGATTTTGGTTATTATTGGTTGCTAATTCCATTACTCTGATGGCAAGAGACAGCATTTCTTGTACCCATGGTGTGTACCTATTAAATGCTCAGCGCGAATGCCTGAAATGTGTCCTTTTCTCTGGCCTGTCCTCATCTAGGCAGATAGAATGTTGTGAAACAGCCGATGAGTTCTACAGCACCATGGGACGCCTTACCCAGGAGATGCTGGAGAATGACCTTCTGCAAAGCCACGAACTCATGCAGGTGAGTGGGCAGCGGCGCCCGCCTGGGTGTGGGAACTCCAGGGAACAACAGGCAATGCAAAGTGGTGATTCTAGGAAATGTATGTAGCCAGCTTTGAGATTTAGTTTTGCAACTGACCAAGAGTTTGTATAATTTGATAAGAATCAATGTCACAAGAGGAAGCAAAAAGTGAATGAAGGCTCTTTGTTGTATTTTCATTCCCACTGTGTTGCTTGAAATCAGTAGGTGCAAGATAAAAATAGGACCTGGAGGCATGGCTCAAGTGATAGATTGCCAGCCTTGAGCAAAAAAGCCAAGAGAGGGTGACAAGACCCCAGTTCAAACTCCAGTACGAGTATGCACACGTACAGGTACCCCACCCCACCCCAAACTGAAACTAAAACAAGACAAAACAAAATCACTTGATGCTTAATTTAAATATGATTTAAATTGTTTAAGAATGTAAGTCTAAGATTGTTTTAAAGGGAAACTCATAGGGTAAATTATTTGGGGTTAGTGAGTTATTGAGATACAAAAATTATTCTAATCTTCATTTTATTTTCCACCTAGGTTACTCTGTATTACTCAGAATTTTAGTGGGAGAGAATGGAAGGGGTTGGCTAGTTTCTGGCAAGTTACTTTATCAAGATCATATTCATCCATCTTTGAAATAGACACTGGGCAGCAGAAAAGCTAGGGGATTTATTAGCACTCTCTCTCCCATTCATTTCTATAACATAATTTTATCCTAATTCTCCTCCAGTTCTCTGAACCAACTCCACTCTTTCTGCCTCTTCCTGTTGGTACTGACCCACTGTGGGTTGTACCTAGCATTGGCCTAGTGCCTTACTTCTTTTCTTTCTCTAAGAGTTCACTCTTTTTAGTTGGTCTCAACTTTGGGCTTTCGTATTAGGTTCTATGCCTGGGGTTATTTGCGGGTGCTGGCGCCCAGTCAGTAGACTACAAGACTAAGATGTGGACACTGATTTAGGGCTTGAAAGTGAGCTTCATTTTTTTTTCCTCTCACTTCTTGGCACTCCTAGCTTCTTCTCAGAGTCTCTTGTTCTTAGCAGACCGGTCTCATCTATGGTGAATACTGATTGCCTGATAGGACCTCTCTCCCTATTTGTCTACTATCTGCTCCTGACATTTGTGCTCTGATTCCAACTCTTCTTACATATGGAGGCTGTTGCTCGGAAGTGTCTTTTATTTAGATAGTTCTGTGTTCAAGGGCTGTACCTGGCCTTTCATGATTGTCATCTGTCAGAATCAGGTGACTAAAGCAGGACTCGGAGACATCCCTGTACTCTCATTCATGAAACTCGCATGATTCCTCACTGCCTGCTATCTCAGTGTACCATCCCATGCTTTTGACTAGTTGGCATTAATTACCTTCTCAGCCGTGGCATCTGTTTTTCCTTTTGCTCCCTCTCCCGCTTCCCATCGGGTCACATTGTCTCCCATGCTTCCTCTGCCCTCTCTGTCCAGCCTTGCCCTTCTGTTTCTACACACCTTCCTTCGAAAGTGGCAGTACAGATCTCATCTCCTTCACAGAACTTCTCTCATCAGCTCAACGAAAATCAGCACCTATTTCACAGAGTATTTTATTTGTGCCCCTCTTTGTGCTACCTCAGCTTAAGCTTGCACCTCATTTCCTGATGAATATTACAAGTTCCTTGAGGACAGGAGCTTGCTTGTGTATTGCCTTCCACCAGAGCCTCTCTATTGGCTTATTAACTCACGAAGTAAACGTTTATTGAATGTCTGTGGTTTTCTGCCTTTCATTCTTTTTTTCAATTGATGTTTGCCGGGTTAAAGAAATTTCTAGCTGATGGCCCCTACTTCTACATTCCTTCTGCTCCAGTCAAATTAGCATTTTGCTTCCAGAGTCCCTGTCCACATTTACTGTCTGTTCCTTGTTCTGTATACTAAAACATTCCATGAATTCTCATCACCAGTTCTAGTAAATCAAATGTTCCACTCACATTTTCTAGGTTCTGTGTCAACTTCTTCAAATCTGTATTGAGCATCTGTATTGAACAATTGTTGTGCTGGGTGTTGGGAACGCACATAGGAAGACTATATGAGATCTGTTCTCAGGGAGTTCATAGTCTCCTGTAACACTGTATAAATGTGTAACACAAGAGATGTGCAGAGGGTTTGAGAGGGTTGAGGAAGAAAGAAGATCTAAGCGCCCAGGGCCTTAAGGAGCAGGAGGGGGGGGGGGGCAGAGAAGAGAGGAAGTCAGGAGATGCTTCCTTGAGAGAATTAATGTCTACATTTATCTTTAAAGATAAATAGGAATGTGTGTGTGTGTGTGTGTGTGTGTGTGTGTGTGTGTGTGTGTGTGTTTTGGAAGCACAGGTGCAGAGCATGTAGGCATTTTATGACTGAGAGAGCAGTATGAACAAAGGCAGTGCTGTGTGTGACAGAGAGCACAGGAAAGCTGGTATCCAAGGACTATGTCACTCCACCCACAGCGAGGAGCTATGGGAGGAAAACGGTTTGAGTTGTGTTTTCTGCTAAGTACATGAGAGGCTCCATGAAGCAGGGATTTGTAAAGGTCAAGTCTCACACCACGAAGACTCGTGACCAGCAGTGAAGGGTAAAGACAAGAATGGAACAGAGACAGACTTGGGAAGGAAAACTGATTACAGATAGGAGGGGAAGGAGGAGTGTGGTAGGTTCTGAGGGCATGTTTCCTTCCATGTCTGCATCTGTGAATTTTCTGTTTGCCCACCTGGGCCCTGCTCAGGTCTCTGATATCCTAACTTTCATCCATGATGACTCTTCTGGTACTTCTTCATCACTAAAGATTTTGGCAATTTATTTAATGCTAGTTGCAGTTTATTTGATTTTTGGTATCTTTTGTATGACATTAATCTTCCCTCTCTGTAAAGAAGATACAGCTTTTTTTTTTTTTATTGTAAAGCTACTATACAGAGGGTTACAGTTACATGAGTGAGGTTATGAGTACACTTCCTCTTGAACATTGTTACCCCCTCCATTGTTTTCCCCCTACCATCCCCTCCCTCCCTCCCTTCCCCGAGGTTCTTTTTTTTTTTTTTTTTGATTGTGATTAAATGATTACATAATTTCAAAGTCACAAGTTCATTCTTACTTCCCTGGAGCAAATTGTCTACCACAGTCTGTAATATATAACAGTGTTCACATGTTATATACCATATTTGTGATCAGCAGCATGAGGATATTTAGTAGTGGTTCAACCAGATGAGCGGGAGTTCTTTGTTTCTTAAGTCCTGTTAGTTTTGTCGTATCACCTAACCTTTTGGATTTAGCATCCACTTATCAGGGAGACCATGTACCGTTTGTCTCTTCGTTCTTGGCTTACCTCGCTCAACATGATTCCTTCTAGCTCCATCCATTTCCCTGCAAATGCCATTATTTTGTCATTTCTAATGGCTGCATAATATTCCATTGTGTATAGATACCACAATTTTTGGATCCATTCATCTGTGGTGGGGCACCTAGGTTGTTTCCATATCCTAGCTATTGCGAACAGTGCTGGAATAAACATGGAGGTGCACGTGTCCTTGTATATTGGTTCCTGTTGTTCAGGGTAGATGCCTAGAAGTGGTATGACTGGGTCGTAAGGGAGGTCAATCTTTAGCTTTCTAAGGACCCTCCAGACTGCTTTCCAAAGTGGTTGTATAAGTGTACATTCCCACCAGCAGTGTAATAGGGTTCCTCTTTCTCCACATCCCCTCCAGCATTTGTCGTTGGCTGATTTGTGGATGTGGGACATTCTGACTGGGGTAAGGTGGTATCTCAGGGTTGTCTTTATTTGCATTTCCTTCACCACCAGGGATGATGAACATTTCCTCATGTGTTTCTTTGCCATTTTTATTTCTTCATTTGAGAAGTCCCTCTTTAGTTCCCTTGCCCATTTAGTAATTGGTTTGTTAGGTTTGGGAGGGATTAGTTTCTTGAGTTCCCTGTATATACAGGATGTTAACCCCTTGTCTGATATATTGCTGGTAAATATTTTTTCCCAATTAGTTGGTTGTCTTTCTAGCTTAGTTGCGATAGATTTAGCTGTGCAGAAGCTTTTTATTTTAAGGTAGTCCCATTTGTCGAGTCTCTCTCCAACTTGTTGTGACCCTGGGACTCTGTTCAGGAAGTTCCTTCCTGTGCCTATTAGTTCAAGTGTCTCTCCTACTCTGTCCTGTAGTAGTTTCAGAGATTCAGGTTTAATGTTAAGGTCTTTAATCCATTTTGAGTTGATGTTGGTGCATGGTGATAGGCTGGGGTCCACTTTTAGTTTTCTGCATGTGGCTGCCCAGTTTTCCCAGCACCAGCGGTTGAAGAGGCTGTGTTTCTTCCATTGTATGTCTTTGGCTCCTTTGTCGAATATCAGCTGGCTGTAGGCCTGTGGATTTATATCTGGATCTTCTATTCTGTTCCATTGGTCTTCGGGTCTGTTTTTGTGCCAGTCCCATGCTGTCTTTGTGATTATAGCTCTGTAGTAGAGTTTGAAGTTCGGCATGGATAGCCCTCCCATATTGTCTTTATCCCCTAGAATTGTTTTGGCTATTCTAGGTCTTTTGTTGTTCCATATAAATTTTTGGACTGTTTTCTGTATTTCAGTGATGTACGTCATTGGGATTTTAATAGGAATTGCATTGAATTTGTATATTAGTTTTGGAAGTATCACCATCTTTACTATATTAAGTCGGCCTATCCAGGAGCATGGGAGGTCTTTCCATTTCCTAGTGTCTTCTGCAATTTCTTTCTTTAACTTTTTATAGTTCTCATTAAATAGTTCTTTTACATCTTTGGTTAGGTTAATTCCTAAATATTTTATTTTTTGGGAGGTTATTGTGAATGGGGTTGCTCCCTTTATTTCCCTCTCTTCCTGTGCGTTATCAGTGTATAGGAAGGCAACTGATTTTTGTGGGTTTATTTTGTATCCTGCTATTTTGCCGAAGTGACTTACGATTTCTAAAAGTTTGGGGATGGAGTTTTTGGGATCGTGGAGGTATAGTATCATGTCGTCTGCA